TCACTCGTCACAGGTTTCGTCAATCGTCAGGGGTTTCGTCTGACGAATGACGTGACGAAATGTTTCGTCATCATGAAAATAGTTTCGTCAGGTATCATTATTCTCAACCCAAAATCGATTCTCGAGCACAAATAACGACGACGACGACGATGACAGCAATATCGACGACGGCGATGATATAACTGGCCTTGCTTGGGTTTTGTTTTTCATTGCGTGTTGATTTTTTCCCATTACATTGATTAGTTGAATTCGTTGAGATAACTATGTGGTAAAAATCATCAGTATCATTCAAATTTGGATTAATATCAGTTAATTATTAACATATTCGCCATGTTTTACATTATCGTTATTGTTATTAATCGATTTTGTCTTTAAACATTCTCAAATTTTAATTGATTCTTAAATTTTAATCAATTCTACAAAATTAATCGATTCTAAATTGATCGATTCTATTCCTATCCCTATTGTGGATCAACTTAACTTGAGATATAGTATACGTAACAATCGAACAGCATTTTTAATGCAACTAATGGCTCAAATCTGATAACCGATTTTTAGATTTCTCTAATGCTAAAATTTCAGAAAATAACATTTTTTTTATTAAAATTAACTCAAAAAGGGCAGGAATTCCTATTTTAACAAATTACTTCCTTAAATGTTTAGAATCAGAAAGTTTACACTATTTAATGGAAAATTTATTTTCAAGTGATTTCTTTGACTATTGGTATTAATGTCTTTTTTCTCAGCAAGTTAATATTTGATGCCAAAATATAATTCTGTGATAGTTAAATCATGATCTCTTTATTGTAGATAGCGATAGATTAGGATGTTCCAAAATTTCACTGATTTATTGCCTTACACTCAAAATCTGTATGATCTTTAAACATTGCTATTTAAAAAAATTAAAAAATGTTTTCTGATATAATTTTGATATTATTAATGTTAATGATACTACGTAATTGAAATCACCAATTGTTGATATTTTATTTAGTGCTATCAAAAAATGAAGTAGATATATTTTTAAAATTATGAGAAAAATCTATACAGTTGACCTTTATAGTAAAGTGTCCGTTCAATTAGAGAAAAATTTTTCAACATTACAGTTATACCTCTATAAAGAATACTTTATAAGATAACCTCTATAAAACACAATTTTGCGAATCAAATAATTAATATTTATAAGAAAAATGACATCTTTATAAGAACAATCTCTCTATAGGAACCAATTTTTATGGCCCGACCACGTTTTTATAAAGATAGTAATGACTAATAAATTTATTATAAATAGAGGTTTCTATTATAAATGGTTGAACTCACATTTATTATAGCGAAAATAATTAGCCTTTACTATAACGAATTTTATTAGAGTCAACTTACATGTATAATTTGCGACGTCGGCTCGTAATATATGAATTATCAGATAAATTTCAAGCTTTTAAGCCCGATATCTCAAAATCGGGCATAATCCATGTAATATTAATTGTTTCATAATAAAAAATCAATAGTTTTTATTCTATGCTAAGTCGGGTACATACAGTGGTCGCCATATATATGAGAAAAATACGCCGTTTTTTATTTTTGCATTATAAAAACTGCTTGAAAATATATAGTCTTAAGTAAACTTGATCGCAATATATGAAACCGTATATCTGTAAATTTTTGATTTTTTTCATAGCACAATAAGGAAAAACAGCATTCTCATTACGTATATCTGACGAGCACTGTACGTATCGGTATATGGTAACAGTAATTTCCCTAATTTTACAATTACATATATACGTATATCGATATGATAATTAAATCACAGCCATATGACGTATGAGTTGTATGGAAATTTACTAATTGATAGGTTTATGATATTCCTAAATCACAGTTGTATGGTAATTTCCCTAAACGAAAATTGTTTGGTTAAAAAATCACTAAAAAGAATTAATTCTCTTGATTGAAGTAATAGCAATAGCGATAAGCTTTTGTTCGACGCAACCTTTAAGTCCAGTCAATTCCAATATAAAAGGAGCTCCCTCCCTCACTCACAAGCAATTCAACAAGCTATCATTTGAAAGCTAGTTGCAACACAAGATGAAGTTCCAATCTGTTGTTTTGTTTATGACCGCTAGTTTGGCATCTGCAATTTATACTCAAGCGTGCACTGTTTGTAAGATCATATGCATTAGATTAATTTGTTATATATAAAGCTCTTTTATACAAATTTTATTTCATTTCTTTAGTTTACCAGGGTAAATATACACATCAAACTGGTGATAAGGGAGGAGGATGTTTTGGTACCGACGAGTCCGATCCTATTGAAAAAATTTGGACCGATCCCGATCCTCCTCGTCCTCCTGTTGTTTGCAACAATTTTTGCAATAAATACAACTGCGAGGGAGATGTTGTTATAAGTAGCTGTGCTTCTACCTCTGCGGAACGTGTACTTACCAATTCAGTTAAAATATTCTGCCCGCCTGAAACATAATAATCCAGCGTTGAATCATAAAAATTAATGTAACAAGAAGCAACAGTTTCTTAAATTTAATATTCAAACTTGCAATAAAAGTATATCATGTGACTATATGATACAGTAAAATCTTTATAACCCAAGACAAAGTTAAGTCTAGCTTTGTTATTTTCAGTTGCATGGGTTAAACTAATGATAAATATATACATGACATAATACATGTACTATACAATGATCCTATCAAGTACATGTGCTATATTAAAGTCACGTTTTTCTAATACCCTGAATTTCTCACGCCGGCTTGTCTATATCCTATGTTCTGCTTCTTTGCGACTTTCATTTATTAAGCATAACCAGCCATCTTGGTTAACATTCAATAAACTTTTCTTCTAGATCTTAGATACATGTTGCATTTTCTTACACAATAAGTTCAGAAATATTTTGTTATATTATTTTGGAATAAAATGGAATGCTTCAGAATTTTTGGCGTTAGTAACACAAATTCCAAAATTGAATATTTCAGAATTTTTATCGTTATTACATACATGTAAATACAAAAATTAATATCACAAAGAACATGTAAAATACCTGCATCACACGTAAAAAAATTTTTGTTAAATTTGTGGTTACTGCTCATATCAGATCCAAAGGATGTATTCGCAAAGAACAACCTTATAAGAAAATTTGCATGTAATATGTCTGTAAAAAAGTATGTAAATATACGAAAATGTAAAAGACACATATAAATACGTAAATCGCGTATGTAAAAGGTTGTAAAAATCTGCAAATCACTCGTAAAAGTGACTTTTACAGACGTATCTGACTTTTTTCGTGTATTTTCATATTGTTATAGGGAATGTATAAACCAACCAACAATCATGCATTAAAAAGTAATTTATAAATTAATTGAAGATTTAATGCAGTAAATATGGTCCAGGAACTCTTAAATCGACAATACGTTTTAAGTTAAAATTCTATCGACTTCTTAACTAAGAAGTAAATACAAAATTTAACCGGTAATATTGTTTATAAAAAGGCCTTTCTTGATAAGATTACTTGTCAAATTTTGAATTTACTTATTAGTTAAGCTGTTGATAGAAAATTTTTACATAAAACGTATTGTCAATTTAAGAGTTCATGGACCATATATATTTAGAAAAAATTGACAAGCGCACCAAGTTGCTTAGAGTAGGATTCGAATAGTGTAAAAGATAAAGAATCATAATTTCAATTAAAAAACAAATGAATTTTGGTATTAGCGGAATAATAATTCCGTGTGCCTGATTTAGGGTTGATATCATCATGTGACCATAATTCGAGGTCCACGAACATAAATATCTTTGCAAGATATATTTGATCTCCTCAAAAAATGCTACATATTCCAGGATCTAGTAATTCATGAAATTATATTGCAAGATATGTGAGTTACATAGTAAAATGTAAAATTTATTGGAATAGAAGATTTTAAAAAATAAACTAAATGAGCAATCGCAAACAATGAGTTGTTTTTTATTTTGTTCTGAATTTGAGGGTTTTCAGTAAAATAGAAACCTCGATATCATGTCTATTAGTATTAATGCCGGCATTAAATTTGCTTGCCATAATTCATGTTTGATTTGACCTACAATAGCGGCCATAAGTATCCGATCGCATGTGTATTTATAGATTGTTAGAGCTTCTATATTGGGTATTTTATGTTCATAAACTTTCATGTCCCAAATACAATAAATTGGTCATTTAGGACATAATATCTCGACGTCCAGCGACCCGATTTGACCGAAAATAGCACCGTTCGTTTGCCTAATCTAGGCGAATCAAATAATGTTATTTTCGCTAAAATCAGGTCACTGGATGTCGATATCTTATATCCTAAATGACATATTTTTCGATCAATTTAGGACGAAATATTTCGACGCTCAGTGATCCGATTTGAATAAAAAATATTACTTTTCGATTCGTCTAGTCGAGACGAATCGAATGGTTGCATTTTTTTTGTTCAAATCGGATCACTGGATGTCCAGAATTAGATTATAGATGTACAAATGATCAGGTGCCGTATTACATTTTACGCCCAGAAAATTTGTGTGATCATTTATAAAGTACGTAGCGGTAGTACGTACGTACATGTATAATTTTTGGCAATACAGGGCGTCAGGATACTTATGGCCGTTACTGTATGTCGTCACTGTTAGCACGTTGCAATTGTTCAAAACTATTATGATTGACTTGTCCGTATCCTGTGGACGCTGTATTTTCGAACACGATGATCTAATAAATAAAATCATAGTTTGGGTAGCATGTTGATTATTGCGGATTTTATAACGGATTTCTTATAAAATAAATTTTATTTTTTCTAAATAACTTGTCATATATATAAAAGAACGAATATTTTCTATTTTTTTCAATAAGAAATGATGTTTTAGTAAGCATCATAAATGAAGATACATTTTCTGAGACAACGAAAAATAATTATTGGACAATTTTTTCATATATAGCTCCAAAGCTGCCTTGAATTTATAAAATTTACATGTCAAATAATTCTTAATCTGTTTTTTGATGTCTAGATGATTTAAATAAAAAAACCATTCTAATTCATGTACGTACATGTACGTGGTCGGCATTTCAGAATACAAATCAACATATGTTACCCAAACTGCGCATGATTTGTTTATTAGATCATCGTACATCTGTGTGTCCCACCCGATTTGGTAATAAGGAAAATAACCAATAGCATTGCGTATTTTCGGAAATTTCTACCGTAATAAAAATTAAGGTTAAAGAATGGTTTTATGATTATAATTAATGTTACGGTTAGGGACGGTGATTAGATTATATATAAAATTGTTTTCCCAACATTTTTTATTAGTACTCCGGACCAGATTTAGACATTTGTTTCTTGTATTTTTCACATTTCTCGCATTGTGTCGGTTTGTTTTACCGTGTTGATCAAAAATTTATGCATTCTTATCGGCTGTTTTTTATCATAACCAAATCGGGGTTACATAGATGCACCCCGTACATCACAATGTCCTGGTATCGCCGTACTACACGATCGCTATTGATGTTAAGTTACATGTACATGTATTATGTTACGCAAAATTTAGAATTTAGGTTAGAGTATACATACCGATATTTATGCTTATACGTATATGTATTTTTTATGATTATACATGTACATGTATTTTGTGTATCATTAATTTATAACGATAGTGATTACGTATAATCGTAACGGTAATGTATGTATGAGTCTAATCGAACGCTGCAGTAATTTCCTTCTTTGGCAATTGAAACATTTACTGCAATGATCTTAAGATCTCAGCAGCAGTAGTATTATCTCGATACAATTTAGCAATTTGAATACGCCAGATACTGTTTCAACAATAGTTACATTCATCACATTCAATTTTAACAGACAATCGCATAAGTAGCGAGTTATTATTGCCTTCCAATCTAAAGTAGTATCTTGAAAGAATCGGAAGCTATAAAACATTTAAACATTAAATTGACAGGTTAAGTAACTACGTATGTATGTTGAAATAATACATATCTGTGCCAAGTTTATCGGAACAAAGTTAATAATGCTCGTTTAACTTGCCACGTGAAACTGATGGCGGAGTGTCCGTAACCTGAGTCTCAAACAAGCTCGCGTTTGATATCACATGTTGATGTTAAAAGGTCGTGAAAAAAAAGCTAGCATACATATCAATCAAATTACCATAAATACATGTACATGTAAGCATGACTACTTTGCTTCTTTTTGTTCAGTATCCAAATTAATTTTATACAGCCCACATCAAGGATATAACAAAAATTTAAAGTGCCGTTGATTATTGTAGTGAAAAATAAAGGGATCACTATCGTGACATAAAAACCAAGATCGAACAGTAAGTGTGATAATTTCCTAGTTTGACAGTTATATGGCAATTAAATCACAGTTGTATGGTAATAAAATCACAGTTGCATAGTAATTAAATCACAGTTGTATGGTAATTAAAGCACAGTTGTATGGTAATTTCCTAAATCACAGCAGCTGTATGAGATATATGGTAATTCCCTAAATCACAGTTGTATGAGTTGTATGGTAATTCCCTAAATCACAGTTGTATGAGTTGTATGGTAATTTCCTAAACGAAAAATTGTTTGGTTAAAAAATCACTGAAAAAGAAATTAATTCTCGTGATTGAAATTTACATGTTCATGTAATAATACTTAGGCTTTGGTCCGACGTAACCTTTTAAGACCAGTCAATTCCAATATAAAAGGAGCTCCCTCCCTCACTCAAGCAATTCAACAAGCTATCACTTGAAAGCTAGTTGCAAAACAAGATGAAGTTCCAATCTGTTCTTTTGTTCTTGACCGCTAGTTTGGCATCTGTAATTTATACTCAAGCGTGCACTGTTTGTAAGATCATATGCATTCGATTACCTTTGTCATGGCGAAAAACGTGACGGATCATGTGATTTAATACCGATGCCGACCATCCGATATCCCCCTTAATTATAATGCATAATATTAAATAGAGTTTCGGTCATATCGCATATAGTAGATAATGTATATTAAAATTTTGCACCATATTTAGTTAGAACACAATAACTTTTTAATAAGTAAAATTTCAAATATAAGCTATTTTCAAAGTAATCGTTTAAGGGGATATCGGATGTGATCGGAATCACATGATCCGTCACTTTTTTTCGCCATGGCTAGGGATCTTCGATTAATTATTACATAAAATTCCTTCGTACTAATGTTATTTTCGTTTTCTTTAGTTTACCAGGGTGAATTTACACATCAAACTGGTGATAAGGGAGGTGGGTGTTTTGGTACCGACGAGAGAGATCCTATTAAAAAAGTTTGGACCGATCCCGATTCTCCCGCTACTTGCTACAAATTTTACAGTGATGTACACTGCGAGGGAAAAGTAGTTTGGGAAGGCTGTGCCACCACCTTTCCGGCACCGCCGCCTGTAATTACCAAATCGGTCAGATTAACGTGCCCTCCCGGAACATAAAGATCCAGCGTCAGATGTAAATCATAGTAAAAAATCAATGTAAAAAGCAATAACGATAATAGTTTTCTTCTTTAACGTTAATAATAAAAGTATATCATGTGATTATCTTTATAACCCTAAAATCAGTATGTAATAACGATAACGATAATATGCATGAACAACAATTGACAAGTTTGTCGACCGGTCACACAATGTTAAAGGTTGATTTTGAAAAGTTTGAGGTCAAGATTATATGTAAAATACCTCTCGACATTTTTTATTAGTGCAGCAAACTATATTTAAGCACGTGTTTCCTGTATTTTTCACATTTTTCATTTTCTTTGTGTCAGATTTGTTTTGCCGGACTGATAAAATATTTGCGCATTCTTGCTAAAGCTCTGTTCGGGTCGGGTTCGATCCGTAAATTGAAAATAATTTTTCGTTAATAACTTTTATTTTTACTAAGACACTTGTTTCTTGTGTCTTAAGTAGAAGAGTATATATCCACAAATTTTCGTTGAATTTGAATTAATATTGAACGAGAAATAACGACTTTTAGGCTGACCCGAAATATTTCGGGTCGAGTCACGGATTGGACCCGACCCGATTGGAGTACTAAATCTAGTAACTTCATTATTTCTCAGTTACGTGGATTAAACTGATGATAAAAATATATAACAGCGTAATATAAGTTTACATTGTGGGACCATGCTGCAAAATACTGTAAACTTTCGGATATAAGCAACTCTTTTTTGAACAAATTTCGGCTGTGATTTGATGAGGTTGCTTATACGTGGAACTGACCGATGCATTCTTGTTATCCCATGGATACTGTTACCGAATTAGCATTAAATTCTCTAATTTCATAATTTATACTCTTAGTTTCTACAAGAAAATTTTCCCATAGTTATCCCACAATGGAATTTCTTATTTCTGAAAGTTTTCTTCATTAATTCCTACATGAAAATCCTTCTAAAATTAGTTTCTTGTGTGATTCGTATTAAAGCCAAATTTAGAAATGAATGAACATTACGTACCTTTTTTCCTTGTGTCATGAATATCCTATCATTTCTTCAATATTAATGTACGTAACGATAGCAATTATCAGGCGGATGACAATTATCTGGACAATTGAAAGACATCGAACGATTATTGTCTGGTTGTTCCAAGAGAAGCCATCAACTTAGAATACTAACCTTAGAATTAGCGTAGTAATTCAAAACTGTATATAGAAGCATTTTTGAGTCTCTGGAAACATGCTTTGATATGTTTTGATCTAATATAATAACAAAGTTCTTACTCGTAATAGTAATACAACTTGTGAATACACTATTATTTTATCTCTTTGGTCAAACTTCAAACTTTGTGAGTAATTGCAAGTAGTGGATGCTCCTCCACTCTAGATAAGCCGTCGAATTCTTTTGAATTGTTATTTTTGTCTTCTTGAACAGGCCGTATCAATAAGTTCTGTTGAATTAATTTTGTTTTTTTAGACAGACCGTATCAGTATGCCATGTCGAATTGCCTCTTAGTATTGAGTTTTTCTTGGATAGACCATATCAATAAGTCCTGTCACATTTGTGAATATATCGACATTGTTAAATAAGTAAGATTCTATTATAATGATTTGATTCTTGTTACAAGAGTAATTCTATTCTATTTTTAAACATCCCCCTCCCATTGTTGAGAAAAGGTCGATTTGTGTACAAGTCACTACGGAAAGCCTTTAGAACGATCAAAGCGACCTTTAACCGTACATAATTTAGTCTAGCTCTCACTCTCATCGCGGAAAACCCTTAATCGATTGATTTTTGTAATAAACAGAACAGTCTGGTGTCTCCATTCATCACGAAATAAACTCTTTTAGCTAAATACTGAAGGGAACGCAACAGTACTATGTATAAACCAGTGGAAAAAATCCCATGTATTCATCATATCTTATTATAAAACTCTCGTGATGACATGTTTTATTATTAAAATCACATAATAAACATCATCGTAACAGTTTATTATTAATATATTAATCTAAAAATGGTAATAAATCTCTATCACAAGATTTGCATTACTATTATTATTATTACGAGTATCTGGGGAAAGTATGATGAGAAGCGATTAGAAATGTCACTTAAAAGATGTTCTTAATTGTGCAGAATTTTGAGGTCGAAGAATATGTGATGGTTGATGCAGAATGATCTTGAAATATAATAAAAAATGTATGAGGTAAAACAAATAAATACTATATTATGTAAAATAAATAAACATGTAGTTTCTTTATTTAAAATATCATTTAAGACACAGCATGCTGAAATAAAAGAACCCCTTATAAGAGCAATAATTAGTAACAAGTAAAAATAACTTTATCATAATCCTCCTCGTCAAGATCTAAATAGTTTATGCTACTACCAGGAAATTAGTCAAATCTTCATAAGGGATATCATTAAAGTCTAAAAGAACTATAATAGCTATATTACGAAGCTTTTAGTCTTCATTATTCACAATAAAGATAATACTAAAAAAAAGTAATAGTACTAGCGTTATTCTCTCTCGTGTGTGATTGTGAAACTCTTAAAACTTCTCTCTTTTTTAATACGAATACATGGGTTTCACCACGTATGTCATACATATGGGATAAGCTAGTTATTTATGCATTGTTTTTGTCAATAAAAACCAAGAGGTTTCGCTAATTTCTGATTTAAGATAAAAACAAGAGATTTCATCGAATTGCGAATTTCTAATTTAAGATAAAAATTATATCGATATATAAAAACTATAGGCTGTGTAATGGATGAGTTGGAATAATCGACAACCTTGGGACAAGTCTTTTACCGTAACAAGGCTGAATTAGACTAATGATAATCGGAAACGTTTAATATTTTAATTAAATATCCCATTTGTCCGGCATTTTTAGGTCCCAAGACTTCGATGTCCGCATTTAGACACACGGACTTTCGGACATGTCCTGTGTCTGCCGGACATCGCCGGACAACGTCCGTGTGCAACACTGTATATTTATCGTTATCGTTATCGTTATTATCAAGCAACTTATCTGCTAATATCGATATCGATATACGTATATGAGCTGAACAGCAGACGGTTCTGAGTCTTGTATTATTATTGAATTCAACTTTCAAAAGGGATGCATTTGAAAGATTTTCAGCAGGACTACTATTTTTTTTTTGACAATTGGCACAATCATGAATATTGTGATTTGAACACATTGCAATAATTCCTTCTTTGACAACTGAAACATTTACTGCAGTATCAATTAAATGAGAGTAGTATTATCTCAAGACGATTCAACAATTTGAATACGCCAGATACTGTTTCAACAATAGGCACATTCAACTTTAACGGCTGACCATCGTAAAGTAGCCAGTTATTATTGTCTTCCCAATGTAAAGTGATATCTTGAGAAATTCTTAAGAATCTGGAGCTATGGTGCAGGAACTCTTATATCGACAATATGCTTCAATTTTAAAAGGCTACTACGCAACATAAAGGCAAAATTTTCAAATCTGACCGGTAACTTTGTTCTTTATCAGTTATACAAAGTTACCGGTCATATTTTGAAAATTTTGCCTTTATGTTGCGTAGTAGCCTTTTAAAATTGAAACATATTGTCGATTTAAGAGTTCCTGCACCATATAAATGTTTAAAAATTATCGTTATCGATATATTATTTTAAAACATTAATGTTAACGTTAAATTGATAAGTTTGCCACATTTTTTAATTGGACATATAAAGTTGACAACACTGCAGACTACTATATTATTATTACGTTTTATTCCAAGTATACTAGCGCAAGATTACAAACGAAGTGAACCGCATGAACCGAAACAGGAACTTTCTTGCCGTTAATTGTTTACGAAAAGCACCATGTTTAATGAGAATTCATATCTGACGAAATTTTGCTGATTTTTTAGAATGCTATCTTTTTTACGGTATTTTTCTGGTGTTGCATTAAAATGTTGAACCTTAGTCGTAATACCTATTCCGTGACAAACTGATTCAACCGAGTTAAAACCCAATAATATTGACAATCAAAAATTTTAGTCATTATTCATGAAAAGTTTGTTGCTTTTTCTTTTCAAGAGACGCTAATAGAATAAGTTTTTCCTTTGATTTGTTGCCATAAAAACAAAAACTAATCGTCTAAATACGTAATTCTGCAAGTGTAATTTTATAAGTAAATTTTTTATTCATTGCGAATAAACTAAGATGTTAAGACATCAGACACGACATTTAATATTTATTAAAACATTTGCGTCGCAATATCATATTAAACCGCCTTCTCTAATATATACTGAATAATTGATCAATGATAAGACTTGGCTTGTTCAGCTTTTAATTGCAGCCAAGAGTTTGTTGTTTGACTTTTGCAAGTCTTGTATTTGTTATATTTGTGCTTATCATATTACATGAGCTAACAGAATCTTTCTTCTTTTAAACACATTACACCGGAGCTGGGTTTATGGTGTAAATACACATGGCCAAACATACAGATTATGTTTCTGCAAATGCAACGTTTATTTTAGCTGTTTTAATTTATACCGAGATTGACTTGTAGATACAGATGCGAACATGGACTTTCGAACATGCCCTGTGTCTACCAAACATCGGTATCATTGTCATGATACCAGTTGACAACAAAATTTAAATTTAGAATTAATGTTAGTGTTTAGCGTTAGGATATCTATATTTAGTATTACCAAATACGTTGCACAAAATTAAATTTAGAATTAACATTTAGAGTTGGCGTTAGAATGTCTATATTTAGTATAGATTTTGAATGGTATTACCAATTGGGTGGTGCATGACATCATTATTATACCTAATTTTTTGTACAATCGTGAGAATTTTCTCAGCAGTTTGAATACGCCAAATACTCGTAAGATTTCGCATAAGTCGTCAGTTATTATTTAAAGTAGTATATCAAGAAAGTTCATAAAAAGATTATATGTATTATTATAAAACATTAAATTGGTATGTTAAGTAACTATGTCACAAATAATACGTATTTTGCCGAAACAATTCTAATGATACTCGTTTAACTTGCTACTCGAAGCAAATAGTGGAGTGTCTATAACCTGAATCTCGAAACAACCCCCGCTTTTTGACATAGATTTAAGCCATGTATCACAGACACCATACCGCGTGTTCAAGGTCGTGAAAAAAAGAAAGAGAACAAAAGTACAATTTTCCAAATTAAATTTATACACAGCCCTTATCAATGATACCATGTGAAAAAAAGAAGAGAAAAAACTAGAGACTTTTCCAAATTAAATTTATACACAGCCCTCATCAATGATACTACCATTATCGGAGCACTTGCTATCTTTGGAGTGCTTCTGGTTATTATTGCGGAAAATGAAGGGGATCACTATCGCTAAACGAAATCTACAGCATTCAGATGATCGAATATTGATAATTTGAGTAATTAAATCACAGTTGCACGAGTTTTATGATAATCTCCTAAATCACAGTTGTATGAGTTGTATGGTAATTTCCATAAGCGAAAATTATTTGGTTAAAGAATCACTAAAAAAGAAATCAATTCTCAAGAACCTACTACTACGATCAAACGATCGAGATTTACATGTACATATACTCAGGAATAATAAGCTTTTTGTCCAACGTAACCTCCAAAGTCTAATATAAAGGCGCTCCCTCTCTCACTCACAAGCAATTCAACAAGTTAATGATCTATATCATTAAAAGCTAATAGTAATGAAGCTCCAAACCATTGTTTTGTTTCTGACCGCCAGTTTGGCTTCGGTGATTCATACTCAAGCGTGCACTGTTGGTAAGATCATATACATATACATTCTATTAATTTGCTAATATATAAACTCCTCCGTACTAATATCATTTTCGCTTTCTTTAGTTTACCGTGGTATGTATACACATGAAACTGGTGATGTAGGAGGTGGGTGTTTTGGTACCGACCCGTCCGATCCTATTACTTACGTTGAGACCAGACCCAATCCTGCACGTCCTCCTGTAGTCTGCTACGTGTTTTATGAGGACTACGGCTGCAACGGAAAAGTTGTACATCCTTTTGACTGTGCTTACTCCCATCCACCTGGTATAATTGCAAAATCAGTCAGAATAACGTGCCCGCCCGGAACATAATAGTCCAGTGTCAAATGTAAATCATAGTAAAAAAATTAATGTAACAATATTTTTTTTAACGTTAAGATAAATAAAAATAATAAAAGTATATCATGTGATTATCTTTCTAACCCTAAATCAGTAAACTACGTAAAACGATAACGATAATAACATGACATAATGCAAGTTTGTCGATTTAAAGGTCAAGATTATATGTAAACTACCTCCCAACATTTTTTATTAGCGTTAGTGCTTCAAACTAGATTTAAGCATGTGTTTCCCGTATTTTTCACATTTTTCATTTTCTTTTTGTCGGATTTGTTTTGCCGGACTGATAAAAAATATTTGCTTATTCTTACGTACACTTTCTTATTTTATGAATTTTGAGCATGTGGTGTTTACTGATACAAGTTTTTTTTTTATTGCAAGCTATATTCTTTGGATTCCAAATTCATTTTCTTTGTATCCTCTAAGAAATAATACTTTGGAATGGAACTACATGTATTATTCAATTATTCATTGTGTAGTTCCATCCCAGTTATATTGTTAATCCCAACTACGTATTTCTAGTCGCTAAGCTGGAAGAAATGCATGTATGTATTAAATGTGCACGAATTCATGCATACTAACACTAACACCACCGCTAATTTAAAACTTTTTGCTTTTCCAAAAATAGAAATTAATGGGCAGACTATAAATGAAACTAATGGCCTAAAGGAGATAAATATATTGATATTCCTTATCGTTGGATTAAAGACAAAGTACATATCGATATGGTGCATGTCATCTAAAGTCATCAAACGTTTGTATAAAATGGATAAACTTCTTTACTAAGAAATAAATACAAAATTTAATCCGTAAATATGATGGAATATACCGTTTCTGAGCATATTTACGGATTGAATTTGGTATTCACTTTTGAGTTTATCCATTTTATAAAATACAAACGTTTGATGACTTTAGATGGTATGCACCATACGTATTATTAAACCCATGATTATGTAACTTTAATTGTTAAATACAATAGCGATAGTCAATTTGGAAAGTTTAAAAATAAATTACGTAATACTTTTTGTCATGTGTACATGCATTCGATATCAATATACTCTATTAAATTGAAGCTCTCGTTATTATCGTTATGTTTTAAAAGGCTTTTTTAACGTTCATACATAAATGTCATCTTGTAGCACAGAAATCGATTTACAACAATATCGATTTTATGAAATATGGCTCTTTTAACACACAATAACCTCCACATATAAATTATCAATTATCTCATTTATTTACCGTCATTCAAAGGTTTACAAAAACATAGCACATAATCACTAAACCGTTCTATAAAGTGAACTCAAAAATGGAATCTAAAACTCATGATTGTAGTGAATGTTATTGGTTTCAAATAATTACTATTGCAAAGAATGCTCAGGTTATAATATTCATGATTATTGTAAATGTTACGATTGTCAAGAACATAAGTACTGCGATGAGTGTTCAAATCACGATATTCATAATTGCAGTAAATGCACTCGTTGTTAAGAAGAAAAAGGCTGCTGTGAATGTTTTAATTACCACAAACGAATTTATGAAGCTGAATGATCTAGCGAAAATAAAGATATCGACTGTTTAATAAAAAACGTGCGGAAATTGGTGAATTTTTGAATGGATCCCTTTGAAAAGTTCACTAATCTTGAATATCTTGCACACGAGGTTTTGGAACTATTTATAAAGCAACTTGGTTGGACGGGTCATTGGACAAGTGGGATCATGAAGAAAATATATTTAAACGATATTGTGTTGAAATCGTTATACAATTCAAAGCAATTCACATTAAAGTTTATAAACGAGTAAAAACGACCTATTTCTAAAGTGTATGCATGATAATTTTTTGTTTTCTAATACAATTAGATTCAGACTACTCTAAAATGCATTTGTTATTTTAATTATTATAGGATAACTAAAAACCCATCTACAATGGAATACTCGATGGCGACCTACGCAAATATATCAATTCCAACTTTGAACATTGACTAGGACGAAAAAATTTTAACATTTACATTGGGCTGAATACAATTCACGAAGAGGGGATTTGTGCATATTATTGAATTACTCTAAATACATGTCTTATCATTCAAATTGTTGACTTTGGGCTTTCCAGTCCAGCAAATTTAATAAAGAGCTTTGCGGAGTTCTTTCTTATATTAGCCCAGAGGTGCTAAATGGAAAGCTATACGCTAAAGCCGCAGATATTTATATGTTTAGCATGATTACGTACGAGATTGTCAAAGGCGAACGACCATTCGGTGAGTGGAGTTATGACATATTTGACATCTATAAAGGAATACGACCTAAGATACCAAATAATATTCCAGAATGGTGCAAATTTATTATAGAAAAATGTTGGATCCTATTCCAGAGGAATTTCGTTACTTTATCTACCCATATAGATACGGATACGAACTGACTACTTTGCATTTTCAGTACTATAGCTCTAAAAATTAATGATTATTTTAAAATAGAAAGGCAGAAAATAAAAGAACTTGATGAATGGCAGAGCCTTCGTACAAATATAAATAAAAAACAAATTATCCGCCTGAATGCTATTTATATCGTCGAATCTTTACTAAGAAATTATTTTTATTCCAAACTGAGAAGGTACTTTCTATTCTAAATACAATTCGCATTAACATTTCACGTTAATTAAACTTTATATCGAATGTTTAGGCTCTACACGTGTCAGTTTGTATGTTCCAAATGAAGGTAAATTATATCCAATATTTTTTCATTGATTTCTTTATTAATTGCTATTTTTTATTTGATGGTGCAAAACAGATTTCAATTTTAGCATACCATTTGAAGTTATAGACTTGAATGAAATCAAAGAGAATGACGAATGTATACAAAAAAAACTACAAATTCAAATAAATAAGACAATGTCAAAATAAGAAGAAAAAGGCAACCAATTTACTTTATTAAATTAAATTAATAATAACGATAAATGTTTTATCTTTAATTTGTTAGTCTAAAACATGACATGATCCTGATGGTAATCATGGATAATTTGAATTTACATTAAAACGAAATTCTATATACTATTAATAATGAAATTGTTATATACAACAGTAATAATTTTTTTTAATTTCATAATTTCATAGAATTATGTAAATTTTCATTTTACTTAATATTTATTATTATAATTGTTTTTATTCACCAATAGCATAAATTACTTTCTATTTTTAGTATTATATTTATTACTATTATTATTAGATTATAAATATTCAAAAATTTACTGTGCCACTATTTCAACTAATTTTCATGGGATTTTCTACTGAATTTCATGGATCTATACCATGAGTTATTATAACTATAATAATTTATATAAATCATTTTTAATATCTTTTTAATATTCAAAATATATAAATAGAGATAGTTTCATATCCTGTATCAATAAGTTGAAAATAAATAAAGTATTTTATAGTATACTTTAGCTTTGATAGTTGTGTCTGAACAATTTATAATTATTATTTTGTATTGTATTGACTTTATATTATTTTGTTATATTTTATCTTTGTTATAACTTAGTATAATAATTTTATTTTGTTATAATATTATTAAAAGAACTAAAAAATAATAATATGAATATAGGAATATCAATATTTTTTTTTATAATTCCTCTCTTGAATATTTATTATTCAAATTTTCTTTTCATAATTTCTTTATTTCTCTTATATACTTTATTTTTATAATTTTTTTAGTTATTTGATCCTTTTAGTTTAATATTTCACTTTATATTTATAAATATAGAAACAGAATTTAGATATATTTCATTTATTTATTAATTTTCTCTTCTAACTCTTGTTTATATTTATTAGTTAATTTCACAATTAATAAAAAATATATAATTATATAATTCCTAATTAATATTTATATATTCAAAAATAAAATCATATATTATTATAATTACAGAGTCAAAAAAATAGAAATTTGATAACTATAAGATATAATTATATAAATATAATTATATTAAAATTATAATTATATCAAGTATGATTATAATAAAATATGATTATATATTTATTAGTATAATAAAAATTGATTTATACTTATAAAAATCACTTTTTTATCTTTTACTCATATAATATTAACTTTTTAATAAATAATTTAATTATAAATATATTTTCAAATTAATTTTTAATTTAGTTATATATATAATAAATATAATATTTAAAATTTTAATTAAAGAATATAATATAGTAAATATATTTTTAAATTGATTTTTTAATTTAAAATTTTAATTAAAGAATATAATATAAAGAACTTTTCTAAATATAATCTTTATACATATACTAAATATATTTTTTTAATGCATAGTTTGACTCAATTTTGAATATATATAATTTCTAATTATTATTTTTAATAAATATCATTCTTGTTAAATTCATATTTTATCTTTTTCATATAATTATATACTTAAAAAAAAGTTTTCTATAATAATAATAATTTAAGTTTAATAGTAATATATTTTTAGTAAATAAATATTTTTGATTTTTCTATAAAAATACTTTAATATTAAAATTCTTATTGATTTATTATAAATATATTATTTTTTATATTTTATTAAGATATATTTAATATATATTAATATTAATATAGAAAATATAAATAATAATATTTAAAATAATTTTATACTCTTTTTTATTAATATATTAATTTTTGATTACTATAATCTATTTTCAGTTGGTAAATAATAATTATTTGCTTTTTTATTAAGTTATAATATAAATTATATAAAAAGTATCTGTCTTTATCTTCTATAAACTCATTTTAAATCTGATAAAATTATTTTCATAATGATGAAATTCATAATATTTATGAAATTTATAATAATTAACTTTTAATAAAATCTTTTGACCAATCAAAATAATAGCTAAAATTATATATACAAATTTTATTTTAAATTTTAAAAAAAATTATATTATTAAAAATCTAATATATGTTTTTAATTAGCTGTAAGTAATATATAA